TTCTTTTAAACGATATCCACAGCATGTTTTCATACGCATAGCACTTGCAAAATACGTGGTTAATACGTTTTCTTATTCAACAGTAAGGCCGCCTCGTATTCGTCGGCAATACCTATCAAAAACGTCCCGATGGAAAATTTTCTGACCTTCCTTCCGCAACCACAAGAAAAGCATACATGACCTATAAACAACGATAAAAAACGATACGCTATCGCCAATTAAAGTGTGACATTTTCTGTTATAAGATATAAAATGCTGACTAGTACAATCCAAACCCATATTTATGAGCTATTACAATAATTAGTATAATACATATAAACATCTTGTCAAATAACGTTGTTAGATAAAGCTTAGGTTAATGATACTATTAATTAAAGTCCTACATGATTAGTTAAAATTGCAATGTAAAGTTATAACAGGTTTTGGCATTGTGTCAGCGTGGCATAGCAATATACATGTATCTATAAATGACTAATGTTAAAGCACCGCTAGTTATAACTATTTTGGCGTTAAGGTCTTCCAACATGCTTATTTATGTAATTTTTAATAAAGAATTAGATCATGAAAAAAGAAAATCCTAACTCAACAGGAATAGTCAGAACACAGCGAGGTATCTGTTATTAAATGTTCAAGCACCGCTACTTATGTCTATTTTTGCTGTGGGGTCTTCCAACATTTTTGTGTGTCTTTAAAAAGGTAGATCAAATAAAGAAAACCCTTACTTAGCAAAATAACTCTTTGTATTTTATCAGAAAAAAACCAGATTCTATTTATAACTTCAACTGTTGGCCGAGATTCTTTACCCATGGGTTTTCCTGTCTCTTTAAAATAGATTTAACAATCGGTCCAAGGGTATAATAGTTTTTGACAAATAATCATAGGTGAAGTATTCCATGACTGTCATCGAATGAAATGTGTTCACAAAAACAGTACAAACAAAACACTTTGATTCTCGTCTCCAACTTTTAATGGTGTGTTATTGTATTCATAATTGAATGGCCACTGTTATTTAGGGAAATGCATTTTCTTCACCATTCACGTTTTAGGTAAAAAAGTGGCATTTGCTCACATGCTCGACTCTTATTAAGTATGTTTTTTAAGATCAAATGTCTTTTTATATATGAAGCTATTTTATTTTTGATATACCGACATATTAACCGCAGCGCGGGAAGAAAGTCATAGGTCACCACATTTGATTGGCAAGTAACACCAAAAAGCATACAATTTATATCCGCTTTTGTGAAGTGCAACTATTACGGCAAGCTACAAAATGTATAGTCAAAAGTACGATAATTAGAAAGCCCTTACTGGATAAACCTATGACGAACAATCATTATTGTGATTAGTCCAAACGTTGGACTGTCAATACGATGTCCAATGTCAAAACCACGATAGCTGATGGTTGAAAATACCATGATTACAAAGTACAATAGCATATCATACACAAGTTTAACAATTCTAAAAATGTGAGTGACAATTACAAGTATGGACTTTCCACTATCTGCTTCACTTATGTTAACAAAGTCAAAACATACTATTGGTTCGTAGATTTGCTAAATAATTTCACAAAGAGATATGAAATGAAAAAGTTCTCACCGGTGGTGATACATATGTATAATACCTTCTAGTTTTACCATATATAGATGTCACCCTATATTTACCGTTCCAATCACCATATATATAAGCCCGCTTTATTTAACACCATCATCACCATATTAAGATGCCCTCATTTCACCGTATATAAGTATAAACCATTTTATAAACAGTTTTGTTGAATTAGATATATAACATTCTTCAGATTATCTAATTTTACACATCAAATGATTCAATTTTGTTTTCAAAACATTTACTGAAAACATAATAATCATCATTGATAATAAGAAAGGTCAAGATATTCCGAAGGCTATTGATTGGGTAGAATGAAAATATTGACGTAGAGCTGGTAAATCCGCATTATAAAAAGGAAGTAAACAAAGTGTTTACAGGTCACGAGGTTAGAAGAACAATTAGCGTAGCGACCGACATAGTTTAAATAACCTTTAAAAGATGCACCAACCAAAGAAATAAAACAATGTTGAAAATGTTAGATAGATATGATTGTTCAAAATTGAATTTTAATATTTGAGATGTTTTAGTGAAAGAATAGTATTATTTGTTTTGATTACGGGTAAGTTTTTGAACATTTTGTGTTATCAAATTTAATTCAATATCTTTTTTTTATGGTTTTGTCGTTCCGTTAATGATTATAATATTTTTATAAACTTAAAAAAATGAAATCTGGCTTTTTTACGAGTAATAACACATTTTCTTATGCTAATTTGTTTGTACATGTATGTAATAGTTTTAATATGAATTACATTTTTATTCACTGAAACGTTTTGGCTGATAACAAAAACAGTATGTCTGTGGAGAGAGACATACAGCGTCCATAAATCAGACTTAAAATTAAAAATGCTATATATAGACCTTGTTGTCGTGAGTTTTTTTTAATAATATTATTACAAAGGAGTGTATTTATCAAAATGAAAGTTGTAAGTATGTATTAATTTCAAATAATATTAAAATTCAATACTATCTTGCGTATTTTAGAACTTTAATAGAAGCGATTTAGCTCTGTAAGCTCATATTCATCTATCTCAATGTACTTATATTTTGCAAAAGGATATTTGGTCTGGAGTTTATAAACCCATTAATAAATGGGGGACAACTTTTAACACTTACTATTTAATAACTTTATATCGTTTTAGAGAAATACACCCACGACTTTATAATCAATTCGGTGATAAAATATCTTTCTGAATTTGATTTATATTTATTTTATATGCATCAGAATTTTCTGATCAAAACAGAAACAAAATCTTCCTCATCAAAGTAAACGCTATCTGTTATGACAAGAATTAATTATAGCGTGCCACTTAACACGAAGAAAACATGACATTTAATGTGGCGAACAGAGATATAATTAAAATATCAGACAGATCGATATAAAGTAATTAAGATTGCATGTTTGAACGTTTTATTCAGCTTGGAATATTTAATGCAGAGAATAAATCGGCCAACGTAAAGTTTATTGTTCTAACTTAGATTTTAAAAGTAAATAACTGGTATGATTAGAATAAACTTCTTTTTATACATGTATACGCAGATATCATAATGAGGATATTATAACAATATATTTACATTCATATGTCTTCAACATATGCTCATATAGCATGCTAAAGTTACAAAACTTATCAGAAAATGTGTTGATCAACACAACCACTAAACCCATACGTAAATGATAATATATGGAGGTGAAGCTTTTATAGATAAATATATTGCTGCAAGAATAAGTCTTTTAGCCACTTGCCTATAAATGGGTATATCATTTAATAGGTCAAGTAACATCTAGTGGTCGTGTTATCAACATATGGTGTCATATACATAATCAAAGTAGGTTCATATGACGAGGGTTATACAGATGTCCTCTTCAATATGTACACTATGTCACACAAATATGTTAAATAAACAGATGTTACGCTTATTATCATACGGGATAGGAGCATACATTAATATTTATAATGTTAAAGCCAAGATAGCCGGATAAATAATCAAAAAGCAATTTTATCATCGTTTAGTAGTAGGACAATAGCTAAAATAAGTAGAAATTCCAGACTCTCTGTCAAAAATTAATTTATATTTATGTATTCGAAGCGAGAAATCCTTAAACGAAATTTATCTGCATCCAAAAATTATATCTTGTATTATGCAACAGTGTCCGAACACGAATGACATATGTTAGAAAGTATTTGGTGGTACATAATTGTATATTATCTATTTCACAATATTATGTCTCGTTTTTATACTATATATAAAGTGTGCATGAATAATTACTGTATGCTAACTTAAGCATCAACGTAAGTACGTTGTTTGCTTGTCTGTAGGCATATCTTGGAATATCGTAGATACTAACCGGAAGTGACACATAATACTTACAGAATAAGCTGATCGTGACAGGACAGAGTGAAGTCTACAATCAAACTAGAAATTTTACATTGACAATTTCAATATTTTTCTCACAATATGTGTTTCGCAGATGTGCGGACGAAACAAAAAGTGAAATACAAAAATAATGCAAGACTATAAATTCTTCATTTTTCACATGTTAGGTACAAGTAATTGAGGACAGTTCTATTCCCACATTATTTTAATAGATCTTTGACAAGTTTCCATGGCGTATGATTTCCAGGCGGTGTCATATACCTGTCCTTTTTTCGCTTTTTCCTAGAACACTTTGGCTGACTTCATAAGTATACATTTTGTTTTGTAACGCACAGACATATAGACTGCGCCAGAAAATAAGTTTTCAAATAAGATGGAAAAATATAACACTACTCGTGATTTTGTAACTATAGACAAAGAAAAAAAACGGTATTTAACTGCCAATAAACACTGGTAAGGGACTACTTGTATATGCGGCTATTATGTTTTCTATCTCGATTATATAGTTTACAAAGCATTTTAAAGCAACAATAAAAATAGCCGATAAACACCACTCAGACCGATATTTTTTTCTGAAATAACATCTTTCAAAAAATATATATATTAAGAAAAAGATACACGGCACAGAATGTTTCTTAATCAATAAGGCCAAGATGCCGTCTTTTCTATCAAAATGACTCCCAGCCTTTGACATATGAACATTTACTTTGAATTTGTAAATTAAACCCGTCTAATTTGACAGCAAATCTTTTCGAAAAAAGAAACAACAGTGACCACGTTACCAACTATAACAAAAGGCAGCATGCGCGTCCAAACAATGGAGACAAAACAAGAAAATCTAAATCTAATTTGTTTTCTTTAATGCGTTGGAAATAATAAGATTCAACTGTAGCTTTGGATGTTTGTATTAAATCACAAAAAAATGTCAAAAACAAGGCTTACGGTATAACAGCTGCGTATTTACAGTGATGTAATATAAACAACTTCATTAATTGTAGATTGTATCTTGAATAAAAACAATGTATTATGAAATAGATGGTAAACATGGAATGGGTAAATTAATTTGTGTCTATAAACAACAACGGTGCTTATTCAATTTTCGTTTTTAATTTTCTGCAACTTAGTAGCTATGGTAACATCAGATACATGCTTTCAGAACTTTTTTTGTTACTTTAATAAGGGGAAACATGTAAAGAACTTCAGCTTTTACTTTTCGGTGGCAGAAATAGTCTGTGTTGTTTCAAATTAAGTATTTCAGTAATATAATATTGAAAAAGTACAACAAATCACTGTTAAGCATTCTTTAAAAAGTCTGAAGGTCGCTTTCAATGTAAAAATACAAGAGTAAAATCAGCATTTTCTAAAAAATCAAGGAAACGATTTTATTTTAGTAAATACCATAACTCTTGTACATAAACCAATGTAGTATAAATCATACTTTTATGATACAAAAATAGAATTACAAATTTGGTAATATGTCAACATGGTGTGTTGTATCTATATTAGCCGCATATGATTTTCATTATTTTCATTGCAGGAATACTATATGTAACCGCAAAAGATGTTGAAATAAACAACGAAATAACCATTATATGCCCACTTCCTGACGTAACTTTCCCGAAATGGACTGGCCCAACTACCCTAGCTACACCTTTAACGGATGGCCAAACAATAAATGAACAAGGTATTGAATGGGTGGATGACAAGAACCTTAAGATACTGAGTGTGGAGACAAAACATACAGGACAGTACTCGTGTTCTTCTGGTAATAAAGAAGGACTTGCAGAGCTTAATGTACTAAGTGAGTTTATTGATCACTTTTCTGTAACAAAAAGTTATAATTAGACATTTTTTTCATGGTAAAATTCAATCGGAATGACAATATGCATACATATAACATACAGCCTGTAATGTATCAAAGCCTCGGCATATAGTGTCCATCACAACATTGGAATCTGACATTGAGATTTGGTTCTTTCAAATGTAGTTCATTAGATTTTATGCAGAAACAGGAGAACAAGAATAAATAAATTTATAATTTCTCTATGTTCACTTACAGCATATAACGTAACAGTTTCCTTTTTTTGAATTCGACAAAAAAAAGATTTTCCAAAATATTTGAACGTTTTAGTGGGAAGTTTTGATAAAGATATGACCGCCCAAAATGTCAAGAAAAAGGGCGGCAATCCTCGCCAAAACACCTTGAAATTTGATAATAGGGCCACAAATGCCCCACGATTGGAACCCTTTGAAAAATAATAAAAGAAATGAAAGAAGAAAATACATCCCAAAAGGTATTTTTCCCCCAGTCCTTTGAACTTATTTTTCACATCGAGTTTTTCCTAAAAAACACGCTTTCGTTATGCCGGGTTAAATTTTTAGTTTTCAAATCTTTAAAATAATTTTGTAGATTAAAAAAATTTTAAGCAAAAAAACATTTACTTTGAAACGAAATTTGAAAACCAATGATCAAACATAACAAAGAAAACATCTATTTTTTTAAAAATATTTTCATTTACTGACTTTATTTTTTTGGGAAACCAGATTTTAAAATTTTTTTGTTTGTTAAATATTAAAAATATGGATGGGAAGATAAAAATACAAAAAAAAGTTTTTTAAAACTTTTTTAATTTTTGATAAAATAATAGTAGGGAAACTATAAAAAATTTTCACAGTGCCCAATAAACACGCCCAAAATAAAGGGCGGAAAAAAAGGGAAAAACCTGGGGTAAAAGTTTTTGCTTTAAAATTTTTTAAAATTTTTATTTACATTAACCCAAAGGTTAACTTTTAATGCAAATGGATCTGCCCGTTTACAAATAATCTTTCTGCTAAGCTTTTTACCCGGGACAAAAACCAACAAGGGGAAAATTTTTGAAAATTTTTAAATTCGTAAGTATAAACATTATTAGGGTGTTTTAGAAACATTTAAAAAAAAAAATTTTAACATTTTTTATGAAAAAAATGCCCATTTTTTTTTTGTAATGAAAATCTTTTTATATATTGATGTTATACGACACCTTTTATGTAAATCCTGGAAATATAAACATGAATATGAAAATGAGCATGAACGTTGTAAAACGGACTTGTTCATTATTCAATCTGGAATAAATCGTCCATCATTTTAGAATCAATTCTTAAGTATGTACTGGTTGAATAGCGAACAATGCGGACTATGAACAGACTGCATGAATATACCAGTTGATCTTGGTCGTCTGCACTTGTTGCATTGGTATAATCAAGCAAAGGGTAAACGTTTATTGTTCTTCCATTTATACAATCATCAAGTATATCTGTTCCTCGTTTCAGGACCACCTCTGATGAGAGCTTTGACGATTTCCAAGTTCCCGTCATTGACATCAAACCAGATGAAGCTAAGCTGTGACACGACTAGTAGGCCTGAAACACAACTCAAATGGTTAATAGATGATAAAAATATCACGGAATCTGGACTTAATATTGAAGAAGACAATCCTGAATGTACAGAGGTAAATCATATTTTCTATTTGAGATAAATGGACAATGTTTAAGTAGGAAATACGGCAATTTCAAAAGCTTCCTCGAATGAAGGATATGACAAATATCTACCAGCCTCATTATTACAAAAGGAACTTGTAGGTTTATGAGTAGAATGTTATATTCGAGACGATGTTAAGATATAAGGTCTAAAAACCGTTAAAATACATTTTCTATGTTAAAAATTCTTTTTATTTACATTTATTTTTGTATTTTGATAATGATCAATATCATAATATAGTTCACAATAATCAACAATATTGCAAATTATTAATTATACCAACATGACACACTCTTTCGGGTTAATACAAAATTAAAATTGGTAGCTATGCATCAATCAAGACAAGACCTTTTTGTCAAGAAAAGGGAGGCAACTCCTATAAACCATATGTGCAGTACTTGTTGAAATTGTTTTAAAACACTCAATTAAACTAAAGACGTCAGACATTTCAAAACTAAAAAATTTCTTTACAGGATAGTGCAACTCATATTTTTACATGTATGTCAAATATAACGATCAATGATATAAAGAAAAAGGACAATGGTAAATCAATCTATTGTGAGTCTAATTATCGTGACGATTTGACGAAAACATCACCAGCAAAAATCAGTCTTCCGTGTAAGTATGCTTCGAACTGACCTTGATTTTATTTAAATATTTTGTTTTAAGTGAAACAACGAAGTTGCAAGATAAAAAGAACAACATCCAAAAGGCATCAGAAAAGAATTAACAACAATAATAAAAGAATAATAACACACGCTGACCTTATTGCTTCTTAGTACAAATAAACGGTATCATAAAACTTACGGATTTCGTGAAGCTCAAATAAATGTTTTTACTTTGATCATTATTCTTTACGAAACTATTTCAGACCGAGCGACAAACATAGTTATCTCTGGAAACACAAGCGATGTTGTAAACAGCGTTGGGAAGGTCACGCTGACCTTAACCTGCGCAACTGATGCTGCAAATCCAGCAGAAAAACTTAACTGGTATATTGGGTCTGAAAAGACGGAAATAAATAGCACGTATCCAGTTGCTGAAGTTGATGAAATGTATGACGGTAAGAACGTATCTCAAGACATCGACATTGTCGCAGACCGGACAATGAATAAACAGGAAGTGTCGTGTTGCGCTGATACAAATCTATGCACAATGGTGACATTAGATATACAGTGTAAGATTAACAGACTTGATTTATTTTGTTGTACTTTAATGCATATACTTTACGGTTCACTTTTGCATGTTTTCATTATTTTTGTTACTTTTCAACATGTATACAAACTATTTGAATTTATCACAATGTCATTATGGCAGAAAACACATTTACAGAAGGTTAGGTACCCCTGCACTAGTGCCAGTTATCATTAGATATCTCCTTATTAGTTTTGTCTTTCCTTTTCTTAAGGTAGAATCATTACGCCAGGAAGCATTTTGTAATTGTTTTCACATTGAAAATGTTTCTATAAACATTGTATGAGTCTTAGAGCATGTGTTCTGAATGTGTTTTTATATCTATAGATCCGCCAATATTGCTTGCTCCACAGCTAAGTCATTACCGGCTTACACAACTGACCAATATATCTATGCCATGTATAGCAGACCAGTATCCTGGTCGCCATAATATTTGGGCCTGGTTTAAGAATGGAAAGGCCAAGAGTCTGTGCATATAAGCAATAACACGGATGATCCATCAAATAATATTTTATCTTCAGGTAACAGAAGAAACAAAATTTTACATAGTTATTACTTGTATTTATCAATTAATTATTTTTTCATCTTCCGAATAAAATGTAAAATCTATATGTGAATAGATCCACCTCAATTCATTACTCTTGTCATCATTATTTTGGGTAAAATTAAGTCTCTATATTTCAATATTTTTTTTTTCCCTAGGTAATAAAATATATCAAAGCAACAGATGCAACTACAATATGAAATGCAAAAAGACTTGGGGGCCCTAATTACAAGATAAATAAAGCAGTTTACTAAATTAAAACTACACTAACAGTATATGGTACGTGACTTATATCTTAAATAAAAGTGTATTCCTTAAACATTTATAATGCGAGACAAAGCAAAGCCTGAGTGAAAAATAGTGGAATTTTTACTTCTATACTCGTATATAGTACATTAAAACAATTTAATTTCTGTATATAGGCGTCATTCACATAGCGTTTGATTTCCTTTCAATTTGAATTGGTTTTGTCTATTGTTTTCTCGTTTATGACACACACTTTTCTTTACTTTGGAACTATAGTTTCTTTTCATGGCATGAAAGGGAAATAATCATGACAGGCTCAATCAAATCGATTGTATTCTTTAATTTTACCCGTTTGATTTGTTTCTTTCGGGGTTTAAATGTTGTCTGTTTTAATTATAGCGATTTCTTAAGATTAATTTGCACGTCATTGGCAATGTTCAAACTTATTTTTTTTTTTGTTTTTGGTATGGCAGGTATAGTGAAGTATGAGAGCTATTAAAAGTTGATCCGCACTTCATCTTCGTTTCGTTGTATTTTTGGTTCATTAACGGACTAAAAATCAAATCCAGTTGGCAATGTCCCAGAGTTTTATTGCTATTAAGATATTTTTCTATTTCCAGTTTTTGTCTGTTTTACTATTTTTATTGTAGAAAAACCTGCTGAGCCTATAATGGAAACAACTTTCAACGCTGATAAATTCTCAGAGAAATTAAACCGGCACTGATGCACCGGATATACCTCAAAGATTCTATATTCAGTACAAAAAGGTTGACGAGGTAGAATGGCGAGAGGTGGACACGGCCTATGACGATACATTACCTGGTCAGGAATCAACAAACTTACAGTTATGGTTTCAAAAAAAAGTAACCTTGATCCTGACTGTGAATATGAAGTTAGAATAAAGTCTGTAGATGATTATGGATTAATATCATATACAGCAAAGTCTTCTTTTAGAACGGACAGTAAGTGTTATTTGTTATTCAAAGATTTTTAACTCTAGTCATTTGAAAACTTTATTTTTCATTATTTATTTGACACTTTGTTCTCTTCTACTTCTGTTATTTAAGGTTACCTTTTATATGATTCACATAAGCATTTTTGGTGTTTAATTTATTTAACCGTTTGTAAACATTGCAACAGTTAGAATTTCGCTTTTCGGGAAATCAATTTAGTTGCACTGCCTCTTTTTGCCTCTTTTATAGGAACTTATAGAGCTATGATTGAGGTTGTGTGTACCTTTATCTGGTTTAAATTTTCCGGAATTATCTCTTCTACTGTGGACCATTCAAAGGTGGTTTATGTCTGTGTTTCATTTTTTAAAAACGTTTAAAACTCCTTGTATGCCCACTCTCGATATGTCCTGCCCATGATAAAATGCAAAAAATATGATATTCAACGTTTATAATTGAATTTTTTTTTAATTTATGTTCATTGTAACGCACAATGAGACATAATTAGATTCTCTGAAACTGTAAAGGGTCAGAATTATTATTGGCATTCAACCATGTTTATCATTTTTCTAGAAGAAGTCGTAACATCTGAGGAGGAAATGGTGAGCATGACTAAATATAGAAACGCCATCCTCATTTCCGTGTTCGCAACAGCTGGTGTCTTCCTTATCATACTCGTCATTTTTGTGTGTGCTGTGAAAAGAGGAAAATGTAAGTAAATTATAACAAAATGCTTTAGTTTCTTTATTATTAAAACTTGTAACATGATACTAGTATATCTAAGTTAACAAGGTGAGATGGTGTGCTAGAAAATGAAAAAGTTGTTGTAAAAAATGTCGCGGATACATTATATATGTTAGTTTACTACGAATAAATTTCCAGATAAGCAACGATTTGATTTGCTTGTGTTTCGAACGTTTATTTAGTTATGCTCAGTGTCCAGTAGAGTGTTATTCAGAATGTAATTGAATCATTTTAAGTCCTTTCGGTAAACGTTCTGTGTCATGCGTCAAACATTTGCATTTACCTGGAAGCGTCTTAGAAAACAATCGAAAAAGACAAGGTAAATGATGACCGTAGGGCAGGGCAGATACATGTAACACCATATCAGAAGTGAAAAGGTTTTGAATGAAGACTGTTATTACTTAACTAAATAATACATTGTAAGAAAAAAGCTCGGTAGTTCCATTCGCAAATCGGCTTTATGATACAATTTTTAGTCACCACCGTCAATAAACAGGCCAAATCAAACCGAGATTGGAACATTTTTAACTTTGCCGTGTTCGGAATTCTTTAGGGATTCTTTTTTTCTATTTTATAATCATAATTCTTACCACTTTGAAAACTTGTAATTGTTTCAAAACTATCTAAAAAAAAACCAAAACCACGAATATCAAGTTAATCAATCCTTGATGATTAAATTATGTGAATCACAAAAAAAAAACGTTTGTTTTGATTGGAACAATTTGTACAGGAGATACTTTTGTGTCATCATATCTTACAATCAATATAAGAATAATTGTATATAGAGCTATATGTATCTTTCTTAAGTAGTTAGTTTTTTTATCGCTTTATTTCTCCAGTTTAAAGAGAGGGTATTGAATGAGTGTAAGTTCAATACTGAATTTATTGCACGAGTTGAATGAAATTATTTTATGCGAGCCTCTGGCGAGCATAATATTATTTTATTCAACGAGTGCAATAAATTCAGTAATGAACTTACACGAATTTAATATTCCATTTTATCACACACCAAAAATAAAGACCGTTTAAAAGTGAAAAAAAAGAGTCATTTTTCATTGAAGCACCTATAGTATAACGCTACCATTTAGCGCGTCTTTACACTATGTTTGCATAACGCTAATGACGTCACGTCAAAAATATATGCACGGCCGTGCACTACCATTTTTACGGAGTCGCAAAATCGGCACGGGTGTGTGATAAATAAATGTAAGATGTACCACCAGTACTTTCGTATTTTCGATTCTATATTTTAATTTTCTGTTAGTTAGAAAACAAAAAGTTGATAAACGAAACAAAATATTTTACAAGTTATAATACGATTATCGCCTTAAAAATATCATATACACTAAATTATTGTAACAATTTATTGAGATAATTCAAAACGTATATTGTAGCTGCTGTTTACTCATTTTTTATATTTTTTGAAATAAAAAATTATTTTAAAAAATCGAAATGAACATTCTTCAAACATTTTAATTTTTGGCAGCATCTCAGTAGAAAAGTAAGTTATTCAATAATCTCCTTGCTTATTATATCTTTTATTATAAAGTCCGTTTGTCTTTTGTTTCTTCTTAAGTGTAAACAATACCATTTTTGAACAGCATGTATTAAACTATTCAATACTAATACTTAAGTTACTTCTTTGGAGTAGATAAAAAATGAGATCAACGATCAACAAGGCAAAGGCAACGTTTCACAGGACGCTGTCCGCGGCGGCCAAACCAGCCACAATAGCTGGGCATTTGTTTGCAAAATAAAAAGTGAATGTTCTATGCGGGGTGTAGGGGATAGACACATTAAGTTGAAGTGCTTGCCACCAATTTAACCGCTGGTCACTTTTGAGTTTCATATATTTCAACATGAATTTTTATTATTATTTGCAATTTATCACCAAGAGTGGTAAAATTTAATAACATATATTAGGCTTACCATTAGAAAAACATAAAATAATTAGTGACACATTATCATTAATGTATAAGAGTATGAATATGTTATTGAAATGAATTACACATTTACATTTATTTACATGAAATATAGATTTATATATATGTTCTTTTTACCTTTTTATTTTTATCTTCTTCATTTAATTCTTTAATTAGCGCCCTAAAGTAACACATAAAGGGAAGTAATATAATCGGTTAAAGGTGTCTTGCGTGATACGGGTGTTATTGCCCTTCACGCAAGAAGAAATAAACAAATAAAAAAAAAAATAAAACTTTCTTTGATTTATATTTTGATAGTTTTGATCGTTAAATAAATAAAAACGAATAATAAATAGTCTGACTAACTAGGCGAATTCAGTTTTACCTGTTCATATGCTGTTGACACCATTTCTTCATACATGACAAATTATTGTAGTTGTAATATTGTGTACTTTTTTTGTTCTGCAGGTGGAAGCTTCAACAGCAGTAAATCGTAAGTTCTTCTTAAGAAATTTTTTTTTCTGTTATCCATAACTTTTTTTTTCAAATATAAATCTAGAAAATAATTATCTTAATTGTAATGTGTTAGCTATTGATAAAATATACACCCTTGTGTATATTATAAATAGATCTCCATCAATTGTTCGACTTCAAGCCACTTGCACCTCACTGCTGTGGGTTTGACTTTCACTATCGGTTCTACTCACGTGTATAAAATTGTGCACGAATGAGTGTAAGTTCAATACTGAATTTATTGCACGAGTTGAATGAAATTATTTTATGCGAGCCTCTGGCGAGCATAATATTATTTTATTCAACGAGTGCAATAAATTCAGTAATTAACTTACACGAATTTAATATTCCATTTATCACACACCAAAAAAAAAGACCGTTTAAAGTGAAAAAAAGAGTCATTTTTCATTGAAGCACCTATAGTATAACGCTACCATTTAGCGCGTCTTTACACTATGTTTGCATAACGCTAATGACGTCACGTCAAAATATATGCACGGCCGTGCACTACCATTTTTACGGAGTCGCAAAATCGGCACGGGTGTGTGATAAATAAATGTAAGATGTACCACCAGTACTTTCGTATTTTCGATTCTATATTTAATTTTCTGTTAGTTAGAAAACAAAAAGTTGATAACGAAACAAAATATTTTACAAGTTGTAATACGGTTATCGCCTTAAAAATATCATATACACTAAATTATTGTAACAATTTATTGAGATAATTCAAAACGTATATTGTAGCTGCTGTTTACTCATTTTTTATATTTTTGAAATAAAATTATTTTAAAAAATCGAAATGAACATTCTTCAAACATTTTAATTTTGGCAGCATCTCAGTAGAAAAGTAAGTTATTCAATAATCTCCTTGCTTATTATATCTTTTATTATAAAGTCCGTTTGTCTTTTGTTTCTTCTTAAGTGTAAACAATACCATTTTGAACAGCATGTATTAAACTATTCAATACTAATACTTAAGTTACTTCTTTGGAGTAGATAAAAAATGAGATCAACGATCAACAAGGCAAAGGCAACGTTCACAGGACGCTGTCCCGCGGCCAAACCAGCCACAATAGCTGGGCATTTGTTTGCAAAATAAAAAGTGAATGTTCTATGCGGGGTGTAGGGGATAGACACATTAAGTTGAAGTGCTTGCCACCAATTTAACCGCTGGTCACTTTTGAGTTTCATATATTTCAACATGAATTTTATTATTTATTTGCAATTTATAACCAAGAGGTGTAAAATTTAATAACATATATTAGGCTTACCATTAGAAAAACATAAAATAATTAGTGACAAATTATCATTAATGTATAAGAGTATGAAATATGTTATTGAAATGAATTACACATTTACATTTATTTACATGAATATAGATTTATATATATGTTCTTTTTACCTTTTTTTTTATCTTCTTCATTTAATTCTTTAATTAGCGCCCTAAAGTAACACATAAAGGGAAGTAATATAATCGGTTAAAGGTGTCTTGCGTGATACGGGTGTTATTGCCCTTCACGCAAGAAGAAATAAACAAATAAAATAAAAAAATAAAACTTTCTTTGATTTATATTTTGATAGTTTTGATCGTTAAA